AAGAAATAGTTATTTTAATTTAAATCTGAGAAATATTTGACTGTTTGACAAATGACTCTCGGGGTTCAAATTGGGACCGGAAATCCTTGGAAAATGCTTGAATTTTAGTAATTTAACACTAAAAGGCCTGCTTGGAAATTTCATTTCTAATTTTAATGTGCAGCTACAGTCATTTTCTTTTTTAGAGAGGAAGTCTTTTTGATTTAAGCTCCGACTGCTACTTTGTGATGAACAGTTTGCATGAATTGAAGGACAGATTTGCTTCCCAACTGCACGCAAGAAAACGTTTATGCACATCTGCCCAGGCGGGTTCTGCTTCATTCTGAAGTGTGAACTGACAATTTTTGTGCTGGTAATAAGGTCAGGGGCTTTTAAACTAAACAATATTGGTTTCTGGAGGTGGTGACATTGTAAGATAAAATTTTGTGCAGCCCATCTTTCACATAATGAAACACATGCTGGTTTGTATTGGAAAGGGCTTGCACCGGGGTCAAAGTAAATCCACCTCATCTCCAAAAGGTGCATCAGCAGGTTTTGCCTCAAACTGCTTACCTCAGTTTGAGGCAAAACTTTTACGGGGGGGGGGGGAAGCCACAGTGGTTCAGAACCTGTGAAAGAGAGGAGCAGCGACTGAAGTCACTTCCTCTTTCAGAGCGTCCTTTAATCACCGAGGCAGCAGAGTGCCGCCAGAGCCCCGTCGCTTCTCCGCTCTCCTCCTCCTAACTTCCTTTTAATGCCTCACAATGAAACCATTTGCCTCCCTGCAGGTTGCTACGACACTCTACCGGCACAACTTGAAATGCCTCTCCTTAACTTTGAAGGTGGATTTTGAGAGGGATACAGCGGCGGTAGAAGAACAAAGATCAAGTGGCTTGCTGTTGTCGTTTGCGCAAGCATTTTTCAGACATTTACCAAGGCTTTTTAGAGGTTCTTGATGGCTTAATGAGAAGTTCCATTGCATGAGCTCAACGCCGGTTTAATGGTTTCCTTCTTGGTTACGAAGTGTTGGAAGGATATAAACTATGCTTTGAGGTTACAGAGTAATGCAGTGAAACGGGCAAGGCTTCGTAAAGTAGCGACACACACTCTGCCTCCCCAATCAAATGCCTCACTTCAGTTTTACTGTCTTGTTTGTTTTATTGTCTGTTCTTGCATAGCCAGAATATCCCTAAGGAGCTGTTCAACGAGCAGTTAGAGCGATGTCAAGTTTCAGACAGACTGTCCTTATGGAGGGAGTCCATTTCTCAGGAGACAAAAAGCGTAAATGAACTCCTACCGCAAACCCTCAGGCCTCATTAAGGTACTATACCAAGTTCCAGTTCACCTCAGCATCCTACGGTTTATTCTCACCGTTTGGATGAAGCCCAACTGATGGGTGATGTTTTCCTCCCTCTTCTGTCACCTCCTCTCTGCAAATACGTCTGCAGCTCGACTCTTTCTGAAAGGGAGAGAAGATTGCATGCGTTAAATCAAGCAAACGCAGACTTTGTTTTTTTTTTTGAGGGATGTTTTATGCTTTCACTTGGCACGCTATGGCAGGGTGCTCCCTCCTTGCCAGGCATGATGGTTTTTAATAGCCCCTGCCAGGGTGTTTGCTCCTTCCTCCTCGCCCTGTTCCTGCCACATCCATCTCATCCTGCCCCCGTCTTAAATTCAATTGACCTTTTGTTCCACCTCACGTTGAATGGGCTCAAACCAGCTTCACAAAGACTTTTTTTTTTTTTAATGTAATCTGTCCTACCGAATCCAAAGCTTTCATTTTCTGTCCATGCAGCCGCTCATCCTTTCCTCTGCAGTGCCGTTCTCCTTTTTGCCTGGTCAGGGTCTCTTTTTGCTGCTTCCCTCTGTTGTTCGTTCCCGTGATTGTTACGGTGATTGCTGTACTTTATTTGCACCTCTTCAACTTGCTTCAAACACTGCAATTTGCTCATCCTGTCCCTCAGTGCACTCCTGTGTTTTTTTTTTTTATTATAAAGTGCTGATGTAGCCTTGCTGTCACTCAGGACAGAAATGAGCTCTGCATTGGTTTGGCTTGACAAGACTTGTCTGGTGAATTACCTGCCAATCATTTTCAGCAAATTCGCCCCAATGGGCTCAATTCAGGTTCTTATTACATACTCATTTCAAACGAGTACAGTTGTCTCATCTTTGCTTCATTTGCCATTTCCTCAACTTTCTCTGGATTCTGCTTTACCTCTATAGCTGCTTCTCTCGCTGTTATCAGAGTCTTCAAATCTTTTTTTTACCTCATTCCACCCCAAGTACTCACTTTCTTTTCTTCCCCAACTCTATACCTTAATAGAGGTCTGCAAGTGCGTGATACATATTAAAGACAAACTTGCACAGCTACATCACTTCAAGTGAGACCGGCACCAATCAGGGCCTGCTGTCATACAATGTGAGGTTTGCTGACTGTTGGACTTTCATGCGATTGGTTTCTTTTAGCTGTTGGTCTGCAGTCTCAGCAGTACAGAAAAGAGGCAATCTTGAGGTAATGAGATCGAGAGTGGATTTCCTGATACCGTCCTGTAATATTTAGCCCACTGTAAAAACTGTATGTGGGTAGTTTCTAAAGGCTTCTCTGTGACAACATGAAATGTTTCAAACTGTTTTATTTAGGGGTTTTCACTTCACAGTCTTTTAAAAAGCGACAACAAATCAAAATGAGTTGTAAAAAGAGTTTTAAAAAGGAAAATCAAGCATTCAACAATAGGGATGCAAGTTATTGATTAATGAGTTACTCTAAAGTTAATTGATCGACTTACGATTAATTCATAGGTGGCAATTCTTAAAATCTGAGTTTACTCTCGTATCAAGGGTGCCAACTAACTTAAATAGCTAAATATTTTATCATAGGCTACGCTGAATTAAAAAAACCTACATTATTAATTATTTGTCAGTTGTACTAAATACTGACTGAATAAACAGGAAAAAAATATGGCTTTGTATTGGACATATAACATAAAAAGTACAAACCTATTGGATTACTGAAAGAAAATTAAAAGATAAAAAGGATAAAATATGAATAACACTTAATCCCACGTCAATTAGCAGAGATATCTATACAGAAGTATTTTCTGTAGTTGCTCTCGGAGTAATAAAACTCGACTCCGTGAAGAGCATGAACTCACCCTCAAAATCAACTGTGCTTATTGGCATTATGTATTTTTTTCCATCACATTATAATTTTTTGCGTAACGCTGTCATTAGATCCTCACATTTGTAGCACATGAGTAATTTTTGAATGAGAAGCTGATCTCGTCCCACAGCGGACTCCGTTTGGACCGCATCTCTGTCCTGTTCTGACATGGCTCCGCCATCTTGTATCAACCGCTGTGGTTAAGGATTACCATCGGCGCCCTCTGCTGGATGGCGGCCAAAGTACGACACTAAAAGAATGTCTAAGCAGACTTTATTAATCAATGTGGACAATTTTTTTTCTTCTAATTTATCATTACTAGACAGTTAATCGTAAGTGGATTAACTGTCACAATTAACCCTAACTCACAATTAAAATATTTCTGGCTGTAATCAGGAATCCAGTTATGTGGCTAAACGTAGTTGTTTCATGATTTAAGCTTTTCACTGGACCAGGTTGGTTTTTATCTCTTTTTTCTGCAGTAAATAAAATCCTCATTTGAAAACAGTTTTTTTCACTCACCTTTTTTATTTATTTATTGAATTTTAAATAGTTTATTCACAGCACAACATTTTTAACACAGGGTAGCACACTTTAATCCACAGAATGGGGAAAAAAACATTCTAAGTTATTATTGCCAGCTGAAGTGTGCAGTAAACTAATGCTTTTTGGTATTCAGTGCATTTGTAGCCCAAGATGACAAAGTGCTATAAGGCGAGAAATGAATTCAGAATTAAACTGCGACTCTTATTTATTCATCCAGTGATTTTGCAACAGATGCTCTGATCTACTGTCCAGCTGTCACTGCAGGACAGCTGGATAAATGACGAGGGGATGCAGATCGTGTGCAGCTTTTGTCATTGTGTCATTCCATCACTGACAAAAAAGGACCCAGCAAATGCTAAAAACACTTTTTCTTTTGTGCAGACTCGATTTACCTCACGAGACAAAGGCACAAGTGATTTCCTGCAATGTGCTAATCTTTCAGCCTAAACAAAATTAGAGGAATAAATCTAATAGTCAAGCTTTTCACCTCACTGACGTGTGCAAATATTTGATTTAATTTGTTAATTTCCCTGCATTCCAAGGGGTGTAAAATGGGAACATTTGTAGCAAACAACTGCTTCTTTGTGCCCTGAAGTGCAGTTGTGGACATCAACCTCCTGTCAAGTCCTAATGGGAGGAAGAGGGTTCCCTCCACAGCCGCAGCCACATTCCTACGATTGCCCAGATATTTTAACAAGTCTCCTAATGAGAGCTGGGTCGCATAATCGAGAAGTCTGTGGCTGTACATTTCTCTTTAAACTTGATCCAGGCGCAATAATAAAACTCAAGAGTTGGAAAAATGCAGAAGTGGATTACACAAATTCATTAGAAAATGTGCGATTTGAAAGAACAAACAAGGTTTTTTTTACCGAAAACCAGTGATTGAAGAGCGTTTACTTCAACCTCTCAAAAGCCATTTTGAGATGAGTATGGGTTGAGATGAGCCTTCTAAAATTCAGTTTTGTGTGTGTAATTCTCTGAGCTGCCCCCCTCATGTGACAAGAAGAGGTCACAGCTGTTTGGAAAAACCCAAGAGGAAACTACACAAAAATATGCATGCATAACTGTGAAGATCAGGACTCATTTGCATCTGCAGAGTGTGTTCGAGTGCATGGTACTGTGAATGCTTTAACGTGTTTTGCATGTACTAATGACCTTTCAGTCACCTCTCAGGAAATTTCTCAATGATAGGACGAGCCATGTCACTGAGATAAAACAAACTTGTGGGGTTAAATCTGGTTCAAAATAAATCCTTGCAAGATTTTTTTCCCCAATTCTCCATGACCTTATACTATGTGTCGATGTGTGTCCACAGGTTCCTCTTATTACGACAACGTAAGACCGCTGGCGTACCCCGATTCTGACGCTGTTCTCATCTGCTTCGACATCAGCCGACCAGAAACATTGGACAGTGTCATTAAGAAGGTCAGTGTTTTTATTTCTATTCTCAAGCGCTTTATATCAGCACTTAATATGTGCTTGTGGAGGAAAAGCAACCAGAAAATCCACCCGATCAGCATCTCATAATGACGGATTTCTGTGCCAGCAGCTTTTCATGCTCCAACGGTTGATCAAATGAGAGGCTACAGCCTCCCGTTCTTTTCTTTCATCAAAATGTCCACGGATACTTGACCTGCATCGCCTTAAGAAATAAAAGGTCAGCGTGAAGAATGAGAAAGGAGGCTTTGCAGCCGGCTGTCTTCGAGAAATATATCTAAAATGCAAATCAGTCAGCCATATCCAATGGGTGGCTTCAGCGACTGCTACTACAAACTGAGCTGTTAGAATTTCAAATTTAAGTTTAGCTAAACAGCTGTCTGGATGTTAAAATTCATTGGTGGAGTTCCCCCTTGTGGTTTGTGAAATTTTTACAGCCAGTGGGCCACAAATGGAGAAATATCTGAGGTGTTTAAATGACCAACTTGATGAGTTTTCTGTGCTTGCATGTCTATCATGTGAACCTGGGCTTTTTCTTTTTACTAGCGTCGCATCTTGAATCCATGTGTGTGTTCGCCTTTAAATTACACACTTTGCAGACTAAAGACTTTCCCACAGCTCCCCTGTTGACGTGTTTGGAGGTCTGTGGGGAGCTGGTAAAATTCCCTTGAAGTTTTTGCAGGTCTAACCCTTGACGGCGTATCTCGGTGGCCTCTTTCAACAACGGGGAGCATCGCCTGCTTCTCGTTTTAACTTTTTTTTTTTTTTTCCCAGGAATTACTTCGCAGGAGGGGCTGACGTGACCCCTGGCCCCTCGTTGTCACCCCGGTAATCCCTGAAACTCAGGGGGCGCATGGAAAACCTGTTGCACAATCCGCATCCCAAATTAGACTTTTGACCTGCAGAAGCGAGGAGGCCTTAGAGGTCGCTGGATGACAGCTGGGGGGAGGAGAGAGGGTTAAACAATCAAAGCTTTAGACGGGGCCATATCAACAGAATAGGGGCCCGTTTGGAAGGTTAAAGGTGGCGCTAAGCGTGAAGGATGAGCGGACACCGTGACATTTTGCACGCGGCAGGCGGTAAAACTCTGAGCCGTCTTGTATTTGGGTCGCCGGGAAGAGAGACGGTGTTGGTTGAGCCGTGTCTCAGAGTGACATTTAATCTTGAAGTGAGTTTAGAAGGGAGACACCTAGACTTTGTTCTGAGGAGAACTTGAAATAGATCTGTTGACGGAGAATGCATGAGGAATGTGTAATGTTTTCTAGGTAGAGTGGAAATCTGAGCTGCACAAGATAACACACGGATCAGCTCGCGCAGTGAAACACTGAACACTGCTTCAGACAGAGGCAGAAGGAAACTGATTTCAACAAATCGCTTTTACTTGCGGATATGACAAGCATCAGTGCAGCCTCTTGGTAAATATGGCAGCTGATGAAAGGAAAAGAGCAAAAACATTTTTCTCATCATAATCAGAGAAGTTGCTGTTTCTGAGTAAATGTTCAGTGTTTCCATTTTCTGCAAAGTGGAAACGCTTAGCAGACAACATGTGAATGCCAAGCGGACCGGAGACCTTCCATGTGAATCAGCTCACAGGGAAGAGCCTCCATTTAGAGCTGCAATAAAATAAACAATGAGAGGCCAAGTTATTTTTTACTAAGTGTACTTTAATAGTAAAGTAATATTGATTACTTTATTATATATTGCATATTTCTTTATAGTGTTCAGCTCCAGCATTTTGAATTCAGCTGGCAGCATCGGACCGAGCTACTTGGACAACCATCAAAAGGAAATAAAATATTCAAACTCTGAAAAAACAACAATTGCTAGATGTTTTCTTTTTGTGGTTCCAATTCTGGCTGATATTTTAAGCACTTTGTTCTGAGGGCTCTGCCTCTGACCACAAACAGCCAACAAATCCTACCTTTCATCAACTATAAGGCAGCTTTCCTTCAATACAAGCCTGAGAGACGGAGGAACTGACAGTAACCCTGAGCCAGGCATTGCATGACATTTATTTCATTTTCTTTTAGGGTGATGATTTTCAAAGCTTTGTAAAACTAAATACTTCCCCTAATCATACCCTGATAAACTCTTTAACTCAGAGATTTCCAAGAATCTGCAGCTGTATATCACTATTCCAGAATAATCAGTTCTTTGCATTAATGGTCCAGATTTGTTAAAGTGGAGTTCTGTGGGTTATTTCCAGAATTCACAATCGTATCTGTTGTAAGCAGCATTCAGCCTACTCTCTTTCTCAGAACTTTGTTTCACTCTGGGTTTGAGCTGTTTGCCAGTCAGAGTGGAGCTGCTTCCAAAGCAGAGTTCTGATATTTTAGAGTAGCAGCATTAAAAAAAAGAACTTTCTGGTTCATGCAAACATGAAGAGATCTTAAAAACTGTAAATTTGGCAGATTCCCTTTAACAATGGTAAGATACTGACAGCTGATAACAACCCACAGAACCCCGCATCAAAATGTCCATAAATGTTTTCTCAGTTTAATCAGGACTTCTTGCGTTTTTGAATTTCTCATTTTGCCTTCCCTATATAATAAACTACTACTGCTAATAAATAAGTCATTCCAAGACGATTTAAGGCCTTCCAGATATATTTTCATATTCATCTGCATGTTTGTGCTCCTGTAGTATTTTCAAATCTTTTCAACAAAGATAAGTCTTTGTTGAAAAGACTTTCTATATATCAAATTGAAATCGGCAAGAACTTGAAAATGTACGAACATTTTCAAGGAAATCCCAAAAAGTATGCAACGTAAAAATGAAAAAGCAGTTTTGTTCAAATCCCAAAGAAGATGAAATTATTCTCTTGGTTGTTCATAAAAACACAACTTTCAAGGTTACATGCAAAGTTTTACACAACTAATCAATTTTCATTACTCTCCAGCTCCTCTGCATGACCAAAGAACTGCATAAATGCAGCATTAAACTCCATCTGGGAGCCAGAAGTTTCAAACGTACCTCGCCTCAGCTTTTTTTGTGTTTGTGTGTGATGTGTGAATATAGATTTTTTTCCTTTTTCCTTTTGTCTCTGCAGTGGCAAGGAGAGACGCAAGAGTTTTGTCCCAATGCCAAAGTGGTGCTGGTGGGCTGTAAGCTTGACATGAGGACAGACGTCAACACCCTGAGGGAACTCTCCAAGCAGCGACTAATCCCCGTCACTCATGAGCAGGTAAGGATGAGCTGGGGATGAATATCTGAGATGAAAAGGGGGGGTTGGGATAAATACACAGATAGCGTTTCCTCCAAGATGGCTTCCAGAGAGAACCCTTGGAAGAAACACTTCTTGAAACATCAACTAAAGCAGAAGGGAAGCCACCAGGGGTTTTGCATTCTTAACAATCAAATACTACAGGAGCACAAAAAGTGCAGAGTAAAATCCCCTGAGGATGCTTTCTGTGGTTGGCACACTGACCAAGAATGTGCTGATATGTAATTCAAGGCTGCTTTTTTTTAATTTTTTTTTTAAAAGGCCACAGAAGAACAAGCGGCGAGTGGAGTTCACGTCCACGATAAACATGCAGATGTAGAGGTTTTTAAAAAAAAAAAAAAATGCAGAATGAATAGAAAACGGACGTTGATAAACGGGCGAGTCCTTTTATCGCATTCAGCCTTGGCCTCTAAGCCAAGGACGCGGGGGAAGAGAAGAGGGCAGGAGGCTGATGATAAACTGTAAATCTGGGAATTTTTTAATCAGCTCTCATTGTGCTTTTGTTACTGTCCTTCTGTGTTCGGTGTTCAAGTCAAGGTTTTTCTCCAAAGCTCAGCCACATAAAAAGATTAAACAAACAAAATCCAGATAAGCAGAGGAGCAGATCGTATGCAGACCACATGAAACACTTGTTTTGGTTTCAATTTTGTGTTTTGGGGCAGCTGTGTTTGAAGATACCACCCCCACCCCAAATTAAAAAAAAAAGAGACCAGAGCTGCGCACACAAACATTTTGGTGCTCTAATCCAATAGCTTGTGTTGTTATCCTGCTGTTGATCTCAAATTGATTTAGAGCAGAGCTGAAGAGTCGCCAGCGAGAGTGACCACTGGGTGAACTCCAGGTATTTCCACTCTAATCTGCTGGAGATTCGATCAGCTGGGGCCCCCTCCAACCTGCCGCAGCCGAGTCTAAAACCGCTTTTCCACCCGATGAAGGCTTCGCTGCTCATTACACGAACCTGGGAGCGTGCGCCGCGATAGAAATCAAACCGCGTCAGCTGAGGATGTAAGCGCCGTTTGGAGAGCATGCGGTTTAAGCTGCATCCCGTCTCCCACAGCCTCTGCATGCGAATTAAAAGCCGCTCGTGAAACACGAGAGATCAGCCGAGTCTGAAGTACACCGCTGAGTGGGGCTGAGGGATTTTAAAATTAAATTTGCTTCACTCGATCTTAAGTAAACAATTTGCGGTCTTAATTGTCTCTGCATATTGTTAGATTACTCAGGGGTAATCTTCAGAGCCAGATGAGTTCTGTTTGAGTTTAGGCTCTCTGAACGGCTTCACCGACAACATCAGGCGCTTCCTCTTCCTCAGAAATCAGCATCTGTGTTCATCTTGTGACAAAAGGCCTTTATTTATTCACTAATTGTTGCATTCTGCAACCTGAACTCTTTGTGCAAAAGTTACATTTAGCAGTCTGAACTGTCCACACATTTAAAACTGAGTGTAATTTCTTTGCTATGGAGCCTCCAGGCTATTTTCTATAATCTTGAAGTAAACTTGGCTCGGTGTTGCCCGGGTTTGCATCTGCTTACTTCAGTCTTAGCATCGACCAGCAAGGAAGAATCAGATGGAAATTCAGATGAATATCAGACTTTAAACGCGACAAGTTTCATGTTTAAAGTCTGATATTGTTGGAAATATCTTATAGAGTTGCAACAAGCTTTGGGATTTTATAGATTAATTTTGGGCTAATAGACTAGAGTTTTAGGAATTTGTGCTTTGAAATGTTGGAGTAAAAAAATTGAAGGAACCCAGTTCAAGGAAATATGTCAATCTTTGAGTTGCATGGGACCCAAGAAATTCATCTTCCTTCAGTTGATTACCTACTGTATTGTAAATTACTATTTGGTCCTAAAATCCTACTTTTTCTATGTCAAAATGTTTATTCTTTAGTATTTTTAGATCTAAATAAAGAACCAAGACTAAGAAATGCCTTTGAGTCAGATTGTTGGCAACCAAGTGTCTGAATGTGTGATTTAAACTCGGTTCTTTGCCAAGTTATCCGTTATGTGTAGACACAACACTCATTTATTCATGAGGATTTACATGATTTTTTTTTTTTAAGGATCAGATTTAGTGACTTATAAAGCATAAAACACTCATCTGAAACAACCAAGTACTGGACTGAGTGCAAGCAGAAAACCTCTGATCAAAACAACTTTTAAAGATTACAACAAACATGAAGATGTCAGATTGCATTTGTTTGCAGTGAGAATCAAGTAACAAAAATGTAACTTATCTGTTGGTTGCACCTTCAGTAATCTACTCAAACGACATATTTCTATTGTGTTTATGCATGTGACGTCAGTGGGAAGTCAGTTCTGCCCATTTCCTGTCAAGATTAGGAGTAGTATTTTACATGCTTGGTGCGAAGCTGCTCTGTATTTTATCCTGCCAAAGAATTTAGACGTTTTTCTACAATATGAGTGTCGAGGCCTAGGACACTTCCATCAAAAATGTTTTTTTACGTTGTTTCTGTGGTTGGTAAGCTAAACTGTGTCGCTTTCTTAACTTCATCTCCTCCCTTTGTTTGTTGCAGGGAAGCGCGATAGCCCGACAGATGGGGGCAGTGGCCTACGTGGAGTGCACCTCCAAGGTTTCGGAGAACAGCGTCCGCGACGTGTTCCACATCACCACCTTAGCGTCGGTGCGGCAGCCGCATAAGCCTCAGTTAAAACGCAGCAGTTCGCGCAGAGGCCTGAAGAGGGTTTCGCATCTGCCCCTGCCGCCTCTGACGGGTCGGACTGAGCAAACGGACCCCGCCCCGGCCATCCAAAAGGACCGGGCCAAGAGCTGTACGCTAATGTAGAGGGAGCCCCGGCCTCAGTGATATGCAGTATATATGTAAATACACAAAACAGAAATATATGAAAGAGAAAGTCTATTTATTATTTGAGAGGGGTTTTTTTTGTGCATTTTCAATTTTTTTGCACTCTAGATGAGGGAGAAGAGAAAAAACACTGCTCAGTGAAAACAAATGCTTTGGATTTAATTTCCCTATTTTTGCTGTGTGTGTGTGTGTGCGCATACTTTAGAAGCTGTTTACTTCTTTGTGTTGTTTTGAAACCATGGCAAATTGGACTAACCCTCTGGAAATGCAGAAGCCTCGATAGTGGAAGTGCGGTCTCGTCTGAGGGAATTAAAGTGAAATTAATTTCCTGAGAAGGATGGCGCGGCGGCGGCGAGCGGGAAGTGGCCATGTGAGGGGAGCCGTGTTGATTCAGGATATCAGCGAATGAAACTTGTTGTTTTTCACGGGAGGCGTTGCTCGGCTGCCTGAAGTTGCTTCTCCTGTTGCTAAATTTGGGAGGAAAACAAGCAAATCCATCATTTATGCTGAAAGTGGACTCTGGTGTTTATCTGAATGATGACGGTCCATTAAGAGCAGGTGGTGGAAGGAGACTGAAATGTTGTTAATGGTGCGTGTGTGTGCGCGTGTGAGCACTATCACCAAAAGTGCATCTTAGGAACAAAATATTGCATTTCCTTTTCTCCCCCCCCCCCATTTCACAATATTTTTCCTCATCTGCTCCATTTGTGCCAGTTTGACTCACTGGAATTAATGCTGTTAACACAATTTTAAAGACTTGTGGGAAAATAAAATGCTTAAAAACCTGGGCTATTTTGTTGTGCTTGGACTCTGGGAAAGTGTAATTTCTGGTTAAACTGTATTTTATTGTTTTCATTATTTCAATGGCATTGAACTTGCTACAGATGGATTTCTTCTGTTTTTGCTTTTTCTTCCTGACGAATTTAATGGTTTAATTTAAAGGCTTAATAAAGTGCATCTTGAATATCTGAGCAAACTGAAAAAAAAACAGGTCTGAAATTATGATTTCATTAACTACAGAAATCTATCCAGAAAGTTGTTGCCTCCTAGATCTAATTTGTTGTGCCATCCTTGACAACACTGGATGAGTTTTGGCACTATTTTATTTTCAAAATTGTTTTATTTCAGCCTCATTTGAGTTTTTTTTTTTTTAACGTAAGCTATTTGTTTTAAGGTTATGCCACTGAATTTCAATCATGCTTATTTCTGGACTTCCTGGGAATTCATGTTTCTATTAAATACTGCAAATGATCAAATTCCTGAAGCAGCCCCAGACAATAATGCTTTTTTTTCTGAAATCCACTTTTGTCTTTTTGATCCAAAGAATATTTTCTAAAAGTTTTTGGGATCAACAAGGTGTATTTTCATCATATCAGCATCATATTTCTGTAGCTTTTGACCACCAGTAGTAACCTAGTCTAGTTCAGTTTGTTAGACAGGTTCAACTTAAGCGGTCTGTTGAGTTGTGGGATAATGAAATTGCCCAAAAAATCTGGCTAACAACAATGAAATGATGATTTAACAAAGAGGTTAGTTAAATGACATAGAGCCATTTGGTTTGCACAGTTTTCTTCCCTCTTAATGAATGAAATCATCATTTCAATTCCGCTTCTTATATTTGATTAGCTCATCATTATCTAATAGGAAAATATATTTGATGACCTGAAGCTGCCAAGTGTGACAAAAAAGCAAATAATTTTGCAATGGGGCAAATATTACATCTATAACCAAATGTCATGCTATGCCTAATCTAATCTAGAAAATTCCCTCTATTAAGATTTGAAAATCTCTCTTTTCTTGTTTTTTCTTGTTTCAGCATGGCAAGAGTTAAACTGAACAGCTCCGTTGCTGAAGCTCAACTAGATAGCAGCTCTGATTAAAACGACAGAATCCATCCTTTGTCAGAGATTTATTATCTTTACCTGACAACAGTTTTACCTGTAGGCTGAATCCAAAGCTGAAGTTTCTTTCTCTCTCTAAAATGCTGAATTAGTCAATCTTACATTTGTGAGGTGTCAAATAAGAAGAAAAAAAAATCTTATTATATATTTGGAATGCGAGTGCGAAAACATTGGTGGAAGACGTCAGTTTCGATAAACCTCCTTCCCCTCTTATCATATCTCTCTCCTCTGCCGTTTACATCACTCCCACTCCGTGTTTCAGCATCTGAGCCGATATAATCTCCAGGCCATTTAACTGGAGTGATGTGGCCACAACATGATCATTATGTGCGCTTACATAATTAAACTGGCATTGCAGAACCTTCAAGCAGCAGCATCCACGGGTTACGGGTGAGCGCCGCCCCCCCCCCCCACTCCCTTCTTCCTGCTAGGTGAATGAATGTCTGCTTTGGCTTTCTGAGAGAAACACATTTCCACTAACGCGAGAAAGAGGAAACAGCAGGTCGCAGCAGATGCTCACTTCCCATGGACACCTGCTTAAACATTTTCATCTGATTAGGCCTCCTTGATTACTTGCTCAGTCAGGTCAGTAGCAACACTACTGTTTATTGGAGAAAAAAAAAAAATTCAGTTGTAAAAACACAGAGAGGTTTTACCACTTTTTAAAAAAATACTTCTGCGACAAATAAAAATGCTAATATTCTCAAAGTAAACTTCCAGTGGATTTGATGACATAATCTGCATCCTCATAACGTCATGCAGAGATATTATCGCTGATAATATCACTGATGTTTGTCGCAAATGAAAGGTTCTACTCGCTTTGGTCTGAAGAGAACCAGAAAACCGCCTGGTGAGCAAAAAAAAATAAAATAAAAATCACAATTTAAAATGTTTCTGAGTCGTCCTCTCAGCCAAGATAAAAGCGTCCAGCTGGTTCTTTATTAGCATGAATACATGATACACATCCATAATCTCACCGTTAGTGCCAATTAAAATAAACAAGTACGACATATGTTCCCACATAGATGTTTGCTTATTATAGCCAAACAAATTCCTCATTCATTGGATCTGTCAAACTCTAGAAAAAAAAAAAAAAAAAAAAAATTTTTATTTTAAAAAAAAGAATAAAAAATTTAAACTCCTGGTTTCCCTATAAAAACACGTTGACATCTGTAATCCTCGGCTCTAGGCTTTCTCTGAAGAGACAAGCTAAGGCAGCAGGGATGGTGTGTTTAAACATAATGCTGCAACATTTTGAAATATCAAATTTTAGAATGTTTTTTTTATTTTTTATTTCCCAGCAGGGTTATAAATATCCACAGCATCTTTGAACTGTCTGCCCACAGAACGTAAAAGCATTTCATCTCAGAGAATATTTTCTAAATCTTTAAAGTGTGGGTTCTTCACTACTTACTGTACATCTGTCAATATTTTCAGACTTAATGTAGTAGTTTTGTTTCTCTTTATATATTCCTTTATTTTACCCTTGTGACCCACCAAGGACTGCAAATGGAGGCTTTTCTGTCCCTTTCAAATAATAAAATACGGTTAGAAACTTTTTTCCAGTTTTTTGAAGACCTAAAAAACGTATTGCTGCTGCTGCTATGGTTACACATTTCAGGCCTCTGAGGTACAAGATTTTATCACGTTGGAAAAGCAGAGGCTCATCAATTCTACATGGATAAAGAGATCAGTGAGCTGTAAGGAGGGGCTGACCAGGGCTATAAAGGTGCGAGTCCTGCTGTGTCCCCACAGTTTAAACTGACACTTGAGAAGATTAGTCCAACACCGCCTGTGTTCTTCACAGAGGAAACATCATCTCCGCTGCTTTGTCTATGAAAGCAGTCATCCAGACGCTGATTTAGATGCGTCCTGTCAGGATAAATACAAATCAGCAGCTGCTTTGTTAGACGAATCAGATGGGCATCAGACATTATCTTGACAATCTACTCCCACTCACACCCAGGATTATTACTGCAGGATGTCTCGCCTCCGTTTCAGCAATCTAATCAGCCGCTTGCCCTTTTAACGCCCAGACCGCACGGGAATCAGAAGTACCTTTGTGGATTCTCTCCTCTGGTTCTGCATTCTTTGGTTTCCCTGCTCTCCTCTGATGTCCCGAGCAGAAAGAGTTCAGTCAGCTTGTGCCTGAGCGAGCAGAGTTGACGTCTTTCGCACATTAGACCCATCATTCTAGATGTTCCTGGCTAATTATGACAATTTGCAGAAAGGGTCCCGCCCCCCCGGTTGTAAAAAAAAAAAAAAAAAGAAAAAAAAAGGAGAGTAATGAAGAGGAGGAGAGGAGAGAGTCGGCGCTTCCTGCCTGCTGACAAAAAGGCTGCAGAGCACGGCCACAAATTGCGTACAGTCATCAGAGGATTTGTAATGAGCAGCAGTATGTGAACTCAAATGCATTTTTACCAGGAAGTCAGCAGAGGGTTTTGGCATTTCTCATTCCTGGTGCTGGAATAATCCATCACTACTGCAAAAGCAAGAACCTTGTAGAGTATATTAGTCTAACTGCGTCTCCTCTGACACCTTTTAAAATGTTCCAACTTTATATTTCCATATTTGCCTGCAGATAAATCCCAAAAGGTAGAGATGGGCCTGGACTCGTCTCCGAGGTGTTTAGGCAATGAAAACCGGGACCAGGGGGATTAATTAACCTAATCTTTAATGCTTTCTGCCCTAAAGTCATGTTCATTAAAATATACAAGCCTGTGTTTATCTGTATTTCCCCACATGTCTATATTAGCACAACTTCTCAGCATGTCTTTACATAGAATTACATCACAATTTCAAATTGTTTACTATGAACTGTGAAACAGGAAGAGTCTGATTAACATGAGCTAGCTTTATTTTGGATTATTTGGTTTAAAACGTCTGAATGTTTACGTGTGTGTGTGTGTGTGTGACCGAACTGTGCGAAAGTAGATCAGAACTCAAGAAAATACTGCGATCAGTTTCCCCTTGTTTAGATTTTGAAAACGGAGGGCAGACTCTCTGCCGTGACTCAGAGCAAAAGCTTTCAAGGCTGTTGCCGGGCAAATCAAACAAACTCCTTCTTCCTTCTTGAAATGAACAAGAATCTTTTCACTTGATAAATTGTAATTGATTTCCACTTTGGTATGAAAATGCGAAGCCCTATGTGAGCAAGAGAGAGGGGGATTGTTCCAGCGCTCTGTTTATCTCAAGAGAAAATCTCC